GAGAGCTGTCACTCAGAGGGAGAGAGCTGTCACTCAGAGGGAGAGAGGGGGAGAGCTGTTACTCAGAGGGAGAGAGCTGTCACTCAGAGTGAGAGCTGTCAATCAGAGAGGGAGCTGTCAATCAGGGTGCATTCCCCGCCCATGTCTCCATGGTGACGGAGCCTATCCCCGCCCCCTGGCCGGGCCGGGTAGGGCCCAGCTGTTGGAGTGAGGGAAGGGAGAGCCCGTGTGTGTCCGGGCAGTGGGGAGGAATAGAACCGAGCTGAGGGCTGGAGAGTGAGAAAGGAAAGGAACAGTGATCGCCCCCGGGAGCGATAGATAGATAGAGATAGTTAGTTAGATAGATAGATAGATAGATAGAGAGAGAGATTTACTGCAGTCGCTCCGGTGGTTTGATATTTGAAATTAGCCGAGTATCTCTCTCTCTCTCTCTCTCTCATGTGCCGCTGGTGTTGTGCGAGACGGCGGCGGCGGTGCTGGTGGTGGCCGGGCTCGGGACGGCGCTGGCCGGCTCCTGCCTTGCTCTCTCTGCCGCTCCTTGCCCTGCTCCTCCTGCTGGGGGTGGGATCGAGCGGCAGCCGCTCGGAGAATGTGGCCGCTCCGTGCCCGGCCGTCTGCCGCTGCGAGGGCGATGGTGGAGCCGCGCTCCGGGTCGACTGCTCCGGCCGAGGATTGACCACCGTCCCGCAAGGCCTCAGCATCTTCACCTTCTTCTTGTAAGTATCACAACCGTAGGGTTTCAACATCAAATTTAATTAATTTTTTTAACATAAAAAGAAAATCGCCCGCAACATCTGGTACATCTAAATTTGTTTGGATTCATGTCCTGCAAGTGCCAAGGAAATTTGAGGGAGGAGTGTGGGTATGTTTAAGAGAGAGTGCTAGCAATTTTTATTTGAAAATAGTGTGTGCAACGAATATTAATTGTTTCGCAGGAAAGCTGCTGTTGCAGGTTGGTTCAGGGCAAGAAAGTGCCCTCTCGGGACAGCTGAAGAAAGACTTTCTTGCCTGCTGAAACTTTGCAAAAATGTTGAGTGCAGGGCATAAAATATTTTTAAAATGATTACCACTGCAAGGTGCAACTTTTGATTGCCACGGGAGATTTTATGTGGCACGACGAGTCACTTTTTTTTAAAAAAAAAGCAATATAAAACTGCCTTTATACAAATCATCTCATGTTAGGTAGTCAAGTTTGAAACTGAGTATGCAGTCGATGTGCAGTGAAGTATGCAGATGATTTGCGGTCAAATCTCAGTTTTGCATTGCAAATTAGACTATTGACCAGCCCCATCAGATTGCATACTTGTGGTTTAAAATGACCCATTGCAGATTTTATAATGTAAACAGATTTCTGTCATGCTTTATACATGAGCATATTTCTTAAAATCTAATGTATCAGATTCTGCCTGACCAGCACTTGGTTTTCAGTTAAGAATAATTTATATAATCTTGTGCTTGTTTCAGTTATGTTTTGGTTTTGGCATTTAGGTGATAATTTGGACCACACACAGAGCAACATGCAGCCAATTATTGATTTTGTAGAAATTAGTAGTATGTCAGTATGAATGCAGCTGCAAAAAGGGTTTGTTGCAACTTTCATTTGCTATTTGAATGCTAAGTTATGAGGTTTTAAAAATATACTCTTTTGCTACAGTATAAGTTTCTGAAGCCTGGAGCTGATTTTTCTGTACTACAAATCACATCAGTAAAAAGATTTTAGTGAGCTCGGTAAATGTAATAAGATCAGAAGATGTTGAAAATACTCATCAGACAAGGCAGTATCTGCACAGGGAGAAACAGTAATAGTTTAAGAAATTGTTTCTTATGGAACATAATGTGAAATGTTAAAACTGTTTCTCCGCAGACGCTACCTGACCTGCTGAGTACTTAAAGCATTTTCTGTTTTTTTTCATGGATTTCTAGCAATACCTCCGTGCACGTTCTGTCTGCTTGCATATGCAGCACATGCAGTTCCTTAAATCAACCAAATGTAAAAGTGGACAAAGTAATTCTAATCCCAAGTCACAGTGCTGTCAAATGTTACCCTTCTTGGAGAAGCATGAATTGGGCATTAATGCATTTAAAAACAAAAGCAGCAACACAAAATTATAATTTCTTCATATATATGAAATTAGAAAGATTCAGTATACGTTGAGTAAATGGTCATGAGTTATAGCAAAGCTATACTTTCAGCTACCGTAGTTTTCATCAAATTGATCTGAGATGATAGTTATTGGATATTTGCTATTCAGAAAGTGTGCCATCTGCTTTTACCACTACTGTGTTTCATTCTTTTAGTGGGAAAAGCAGTTATAATTTTCAAATAGATTTTGCTCAGCTCAGAAAAATGTTTACTTATAGTCAGGAAAAACTATCCACTGCAACAAATTATTGTTTAACAAATGTCAATTGTGTGCAGTGTTCCAAAGATTATGCTTCATGTTGTCTTAAAGTGACTCAAAATTTTGTGTTCCTTTAGATTTCCTTTGACTTAGGAGAAAAAATCCTGTTAATTATGATATAGATGTTGGCTTTATGTTTTTCTCTGAAACTTCGTCTTTGGAAATATCTTGCAGTAAATATTTGACAGCAATGTAATTTTCAAGTGGAAAGGTTGTGCCGATCATGGGTAAAACAAAATAGCAGTATTTCCAAAGTCACTGAGACTTTGGTATTATCTTTTCTAGAATAACTGCCTGGAGATTTGTACATTCAAAAGTTATTACTTACTCTGAGTATGTTCCAGTGTTGGCTACCTGTATGCTCAACTTGCATCATGTGATGCATGTTGGAATGTTACTTTAACGAAATGTAAGTATGCTTGATAATTTTATAGCTTAAAAAGGGCATGTTAAGAGTATTTGAAATCAGTCATACAATGACTTAAATCCTTAAGACAATTTTTCATATGTCATAAGTATGTGCTTTAGCAGACACTTTGATAACAGGCTGTATGATAAATTAGTTGCTTTCAAAAGTTATGAAATTGATTAGTTAACAAAATCCTGAGCCATTTGTGTGGTGCCAACATCTACATTTATGCACTTGAATTAACCCAGGGTTACTTATGCCTAAGCACACAAGGTGTAAATAATGATCATATTTAACAGCAAGCCTTAGTTTCTAAGTTACTTTATTGCTTAATAATTCCACAGATATCTGCCTTTCTCCTATAAAGTTAATGTTACCTTTGTATTTGTATGGTCTGAACATACTTTGTAAGTAAAAGGACCAAGGCAAAATATGGCTAATACTATTCAGTGATAACA